CCGACACCGGCATTTTACATTTTCTGACAGATGCGTCTGTGGAGGTCTTTAGGAAGTGCAATCTCGGGCAGCCGCATCTGCCTAAACACGGATCTTTCTCTGAGCTGCCGGCAGCCTGTGTCTGTTTACAGGTGCCCGCAGCTCAGAGGAAGGGCCGTGTTTTAGGCAGATTCGGCTGCCTAAGATCGTGCTTGCCGAGGACCCCCACAGACGCATCTGTCATTGCCTTCTCCTCCTCCAGCTCCCTGACATCGTGCTGCCCACCTGTGGACCGCTGGTGAGACAGCATAGCCCATTTAGCCCATCACGAGAGCCCGCACAACCCACCAGGCCACGTGGAGACATCAGTGCGTCAACACAGAACAACACAGAGTATGTAGCTTCATATTATTTTGTATTGCTGTATAATGTATTGCTGGGATTTGTAGTCCTCTCTAGCTGGTCTCATCACTCCCTCCCCTGGCTGCCTCTCCTCTATATTAAAAAAAAATAAAAAAAAAATGCCGCGTGCGGCGCTAGAGTGTTCGGGTTTCACTTGAAGAAAAGGTGGCAACCCTAATCATGGCCTGACAATAAAAGTAATAAAGAAATTCTCTTGAAAACTACACGAAACCTACAGAACAGGCTGAACAAGTTCATACAAAGCCACTGTCTGCTAATCCTTGAAAAACAAAGTTAACAGATTGACGCAGTTAGCTGAATTCTCAGGTATAATAAAAGGACATAAGTATCATTTTGAAGCTCCTAAAAACTTCTCAGATGTTTCTATTTAGAGCCTCCCGTAATACAGAAGTCTAACATTTGTGCGGCCAGTAATATACTTAAATATTCTAAACACATTTGTACCACAACTGACATCCTGAATGTCATAAAAAATTTATTGATCATGCAATTTCCAGCCCACAGTAGAGAGTCAAGGAAAGAGCCCCCGTGTAGGAACAACCCACATTTCATTGACAGCTAAATACAAACGCTTCTTTACTAAGTATAGAAAGTTAGATGGAGGTGATAAGTAAACTCTGCGATACCCTCAAACCCTTAATTGCCTATAATATGCTAATATGGTCAGACATCAAATACTTCCTCTACTTCCTGCCCAAATGTTATCAAGAAGGAACTGTAGAAACCTTCTCTGTCTCAATGGTAGTCAGGCAGAATCAAGTGGTGCTTGTTGGCCAACATCACAAACTAAGAGCATCATAAAGAAAGTCTCCTGCTTCCCGCCGCCCAAGAATTGAGCAGTACTTGGGTCTACAGCAGGGGTCAGCAACCTTCACACTCCAGCTGTTAAGGAACCACAAGTCCCATGAGGCATTGCGAGACTGACAGGCAGAGGCATGACTCCCAGC